GTAAATATTTCTGGGCATAGTGTAGTGTGGCAATTCTCTCCTCATCAAACGGTAGATGTAGTCCAAAATATCAAACAAATAATACTCTTCTGGGCTGAAAAAATTTGAACATGATTATGGAGAGTAATAACTGTGCAAGGTGTGTTTACGTAGGAGTTAACAAAGCCAAGATGGGGATAGCATGACAGGTTATACATAACATTACCTCTGTTTGCCAAAACAAATTAAAATGCATAATTCTCATAAAAAGTGTGCAGTGTGAAAAAAGCCCCCACCTCCCTCCCCCCCAAAAAAACACACACACACACAACTACACCCACTACTTGCTCTGCCATGCCATCATGGGCTCCAATCTTATCAGAGTTTTTATTTAAATGCTGGGTTTACAGCTGCAACAACTTACAACTTTATTCAGTGTGTAATTTGTTGTTTACTATCTCTTAGATGGTAGTGACCAGCTCTAGTTGTGATTGCTACATACAACAGTTTTGCTTGTATGTATTTGAATCCCATTCTTTTTTATTGCATTTTTATTTTTATTTCAGTTGGACATGTACAGGAAGGAGGAAATTAAACCTTTTCTGGAAAAGTACCACAGGCAAAAATCTACAGTTTGGATTTACTCGAATGAAATCATCAAAACCAAACAGTCGCATTTACACCATAACAACATCCTTGTAGACAAGTATACAATCGTCTTTTTATTTTTACCTTACAAGGAAAGCTAAAGGAAAGATAATTTATTGACCCATTCAGGAAGAACACAATGACAGTTGTTGCAATACTTAGGTGTTCACAAATAATATTGGTAGTAACAGTAATATTAATAACAATGAAATTACCCAACAAGTTCAAATGTCTGTCCAATGCTGTCATCTTCATTAATGGCATTAACTATTGCCTGGGCTACATCAGCAATCTGGAAAATGAAGTGAGTTAAAAAAACACACCATAACTAAACAGACAATTCAAGGAAGCACAGAGTTAGCACCTGGTTTTTGTCAGATTAGAAAAGACATTGATAAGAAAACTTTCAAAACACAGAACAGAATAGTTGATAAGCAAGTAAGACACATCCACTCTGAAGCAGTGGCCTTGTTAACATTTAAAACAAACAGTCTTTTGCCAAAAATGCAGTTGGGTATTAAATTAAAGTCATTCTTACATAGACAGGAACTTTAGTTGTTTTCAGTCCACCATCAATCAGAGGAATACCAAGTGGAAGTTTTCTGAGATCTGAATAAAAAAATTAATAAGGAAAACAGTCTGTTTCCATGAAAAAGATTCTCCAGAGGCCACTATTATTTCTAATTACACTGATTAACCAGAGTTTCAGATATTTGACAGTGGGCTTTATATTATAAGCAACAACGGTGGCATAGGAAATGAGATTGTCATGTTTACAGTGCAATGACTCGAACCAGGGCACTTGGAAAAAAATTATGCAATGACAACATTTCTTGAAAACAAAAGATTCTCAAGTTTTTTGCAAAGACACCAATAACATTATTAAATTTGAGGGTTGTTTCCTGAGAGGTCACATAAGTTTAAACAGTTTTAAGGTGGCTCGACTGGATTTTTTGGGGTTGATACCTCCTCCTCATTTATCTTTGTGTTTCTCTGTTCCAGGAGTTTTTTGAAGAAATCGCTTAAGGGAGTATGTACCTGCAAATTCTATCTTTTTGCTAAATGTGCACGTGTATATGAAACTTGAAAACAATGCCAGTGAATAATGAGGATGTCACTTGTAAACACAAAANCTTTAGTTGTTTTCAGTCCACCATCAATCAGAGGAATACCAAGTGGAAGTTTTCTGAGATCTGAATAAAAAAATTAATAAGGAAAACAGTCTGTTTCCATGAAAAAGATTCTCCAGAGGCCACTATTATTTCTAATTACACTGATTAACCAGAGTTTCAGATATTTGACAGTGGGCTTTATATTATAAGCAACAACGGTGGCATAGGAAATGAGATTGTCATGTTTACAGTGCAATGACTCGAACCAGGGCACTTGGAAAAAAATTATGCAATGACAACATTTCTTGAAAACAAAAGATTCTCAAGTTTTTTGCAAAGACACCAATAACATTATTAAATTTGAGGGTTGTTTCCTGAGAGGTCACATAAGTTTAAACAGTTTTAAGGTGGCTCGACTGGATTTTTTGGGGTTGATACCTCCTCCTCATTTATCTTTGTGTTTCTCTGTTCCAGGAGTTTTTTGAAGAAATCGCTTAAGGGAGTATGTACCTGCAAATTCTATCTTTTTGCTAAATGTGCACGTGTATATGAAACTTGAAAACAATGCCAGTGAATAATGAGGATGTCACTTGTAAACACAAAATCTGGGGGGAAAATTGGCTATATTTGAGGCCCTATTTAAAAGCCTTCCCTGTTTTCAATGTTCTTAAAACTTGCAGGGAATATTTCTTGACGATTGATCTCGGGATGGTCCAATTTATAGAAAAATTTATCAAGCGGTTTTTGGAAAAATACGAAATTTTTGAGCATGGACCAAATTACGTCCAAAAACTGTATCAAAAGCAGCTAAATGCAAGTTAATAAAATTCTTCTTACTCGCGATCGCCCAGAGCAATTCCCCTCTATTTTCGTATGCAGTTTTCAATGGAATCAAACCACTATGAGATGAAGCCTCGTTCCCAAAGCTTATCATTTTCTTAACGAATTGTGTAGGTAGCATGCTATTTCACTGTTTTTATTATTCTTAAAACTACATTTCAAAATATTTCGAAAACGCTCTCATGGAATTTGTTCAAACTTTGCCATAATGGAGGCAATTATAGCAGGTACATACTCCCTTAAGCGATTTCTTCAAAAACTCCTGGAACAGAGAAACACAAAGATAAATGAAAAACGTAATGGCGTCATTACGTTGCCATGGCGACTCCGGTTGCAATAAAACCCAGATCATAAGAAATTTTCATCTTTATATGATACAGTTGTGGTAACCTTTTTTCCATATCTTTACTCATCCCGACGTAGTTAATGCTGAAAGTTGGGAGGTATCAACTGCAACAAATCCAGTCGAGCCACCTTAAGGTTTCCAACAGTGCAAGAGTTGCATAGTTGAACCTTGAACTTTATTGGTCCGTTTGCAATAACAAACTTGAGAATCATTTGTTTTCTTACACTTACTTGTTACAAAAGATAATTATATATTTTTATCTCTTGATGAATAAAGACTTTATTATTACTTTATTATTATTATTATTATAATTCTAAAGTGTTGTGGTTGGATAATCTTCTTCCAAGTACCCCGGTTCCAGAGGTCAAACTGTAACATGTCTTCCGTAAAATTTCCTGCGGGAAATTCACATATTAGTAGTAGTGCAGTGATGGCAAAATAATGTACCATTGTGCATTGTGCAATGTGCATTGTTATTGCTAACTTTGCCTAATATTATTTATAAACCACAGAAAAAACTTTTTTGACTCTATACAAATTTGGTTTCTCAGGGTATTTCCTTGGTGTTGAGGATAAAAGCTTAACAACAATTTCCAAAACATCACAAAACACCCTACATTAATTTGCATGCCATTAATTTTACCCTTTACCCTGTCCCTGTAGAAGGTAAATTAACTTTTAAGCAAGTTGTTACTTTTTAAAAGGCAAAGAAAAGGTATATTCAACTTTATGCACAGCTTACATGCATAGTAGTTTAAGAAATGATCCTCATGGCCAAAACATGTAGCTGGTCGTAGTATGGTAGCATCTGGAAACTCCTCTCGTACGGCGGCCTCTCCACGAGCCTGACATAAGAACAAAACACAGTAAACACATTGTACAGTCACACCTCTTTGATTTACAGACACCAAAGGGACATTATTTACCAAGTGTCTACATTACAGAGGCATCTGTATTATGGAGGTAGAGAATGTATGGAGTTTGATATCTTCTGGATCAAGAGAACCGTCCATAGGTTTTCAATACTGTACCAATAGCGCTTTCTACTATTACTAAAAATAGGTTTTGTCACCTTAGACCCCCCCCCCGCGTGACTCAGACAAACTTCGCATTCTACCGCAAGGCTTTGTATGGGAAACATACGTTTCCAACATGAAAATTGTTCATAAAATTCGCAGTGAGCGTTTTTGAAATGTTTTTTGAGCATAATTCCAATATATAAAAGGCACTACTGCTATTGGGAGCAAAACCTGGTCTAGTAACTCAAATAAATTGTTAAAATCAGAAAATAAAGTGACTCGATCGAAGAAGGCTACTGAAATCAGATCCCTAGCTCTCTGTCTTAGGCAGAAAGCACCGCTATGCACTGAATCATGACATAACATTATTGGCTGTGTAATACTCCAAAACCGAAATGGCTAAAGAGAAAATCGAGTTTGGGTGTGCTTCTCGCAAGCCTGTGATAGAATATCTAAGGTGAAAAGCACACCAATATTAGCACAAACCGGAAATTGTGTAAGTTTGTTCTGTTGTTCTGCGGCCAGGTAGACCATATGAATCCGGGACGAATACTTTAGTACTTTATATCCTGTAGTACTAAGTAGCGTAACATAAGCACTCGAAAAAAAAAAATTGAGCAACCTTTGCCCATAAATTTAACCAAATGCACCGTTTCAGGCACAGCTATGAAGCCATACTCTCCACACATTTTAACATAATTTTACCCACAGCATTATGATGCCGCATAAGAAATACAACCACTCATCTGTACAGTTTTTTCCACGTTTAACGCTGTCTTGGCAGGCGTTGATTATTTTCGGGATATTTATCATCGAAACCAAGCTGCATTTTGTTTCCTTTAACGATAAACATCTTCAAAGACGATGAAAATTTGTTGCCGAATGTGACTTTCCCATACTAAACTCTTATACTGGTCAGGTGAAATGTCTGAGTCACAGCAGGGACCAGAAATTTGTGACGTCATTAGTATAAAGCGCTATTTAGAGGTTGTTACTTAGCTAGGGGGGTAAGCGGCCAATAACTTTCCACAAGCATTGGTCAAGAATCACAGAAGAAACAAATCAATATTTTTACTACCAAATCCCAGAAAAATAACGACAGTGTTAAAAAAGACAAAATTCTGAAAAATAAAAGCGACACAAAAACATTTTAGCATAATTATACAGTGGTTTAATCCTTTGGCCATGGCCAGTGAGATGTAGCAAAAAAAACACATTTTTTTCAACATTTACTCTTATTTGGACTGAATTTGGCACATTTGCATGGGAAGGGCAAAAAATGATTTTTGCAACAATAAGGGCATATTTTCTGACTAATCTGATGTAATTAAGTAGCTTTTTTGCTCGTGGCATATGTGCCTTGAAGCCAAAATTTGTATTATCTTCTTTTGTTTTTCTTTTTTTTAATTTCGATCTTTCTTTCTTGCTCTCTTTTTTCCCTTGCTTTTCTTTACTTTTATGAGGTTTTGTTGCCCCCTTTATTGCCTTTTTTGCATGAACTTGTGGCTGGCAAATGTTTCAGATAGGGAAGGGACAAATTCAATTCACAAAGAGTAGTATGTAAATAGAGAAATCAGCTAGTCGATTTTTCCCCAAGATGCTACTTGCTTAACTCTGTCAAAATTGGTCACCATTTCCAAAATGAGGAATCAGTGGAAAGATCTACATTGTTTCTTTGCTGATTCTGCTGGTTACCGAGTTAAAAGCTTAAACTAGAAGCTTTCACGCTTTCAGTTTAAGATATTAAGCTATTTTCCTTCCACATGCATCGTTCTATATGGACCAAAAACTACCAAAGTGGTCATCAAAGGGTTAACTGAAGATGACGTAAATTGTAAAATATTTAAAAGACGTCATTGAACGTTAAGTGCTCAAATCATTATGAGTCAATCTACTATTTTTTGACTGTTTAGGAAGTAGTTTCACCTTGGACTGTAGAAATTTTGATGGGCTGTCTTCACTAGCATTGAGTGCTGAGACATGGATCAATCGTTTGACTCCAGCTTCTTTTGCAGCTTTAGCTATAACTCTTGCTCCTGTGTTGTGTACATCATCAAAAGAAAAGTTCCTGTAGAGATAAAGTATTTATTCAATTAAACACCACCGAACAGATGGAAGCAAAATAACCAATAAACTCCCCCTCAAATAAATACCGCAACTAATCAGAAGAATGCGGCACTTACTCGACAATAATAAGAAAAACTTCGGTATAACTTGGTAATTTACACCATCCACGGCAGACATTTACGTTTCTATCTCAGCAAAATAACGGAGACACTGGAACCTTTAAAGTACATAATATTTACAAATGATTTACAACAACAGTACTGTTGTCAGAGATTATAAAAAAAGTAATTTTGAAAAAAACACTGCCCTTTAATAAATGCTGCACTGGAAACACTAAAAACTTAATAAGCGTCGCGCCGTTTAATCGAATAAATACGGTACAGCATTTATCCTTTACCCTCTAGTAAATTTATAGTGTGAAATAAATCCCAATCAACACTGATTTTAATCATGTAACAGGTATTTTGATATTCTTTGTAGAAATAGAGCATCAACATCATCGTCAACATAACAATTATTTTAGTATTACCATGTATACCTTGTTTCATATTGTCTACCAACCAAGTTAATGACACAGTTAGAATGTGTCAACATTTTAGCCACAGATTCAGCATCCTTGAGGTGATAATCCTGTGAAAATTAATTTCAAGACATGGCTGTATTGAGTACTAACTTATTATTAGACACAATAATCTTCATCTTGGAAGTACAAATGAAAGGGACAAGAATAAGAGCAATGCCTTAAGCCATGGTAAATGCAGTTATTTAACGATTCTGAGTGTTGTTCCGGCCGGGGTTTGAACCCACGATCTCCCGCCCAGTAGATCAGCCCTCTCCCAACTGAACTAACCAAGCAGCAGTCAAGTTCTCGTAGGGCAAGTCCCAATTCCTCAAAACAAAATTATCAACAAATTGTTCAAGTACACCACACCTCAAAAGAGCAAAATAAAGCTTTACATTAAGAAAATCACTTTTTCAAGATAAAAACAGAAGATTCTTTAGGAACTAATCATATGACTTACAAAAAACATTATTTGTCCTAGATCCCCCATAAGCCTGAGGTGCCTGTAGTCATACTCATCTCCACGATATGGCACAATGATCTGATTTCCACCACGCCCTGTGAAAAGAGGGTGTACCATTTTAGACAACTGAAAGATGTTAACACAGGAAGCAAAAACTTGATCAGTCAGACATAGCAAAATAGGGATGGGTTCTTTACATGCTGCATGTGTGATTGAAGTGTACAAGAAACTGAGAGCAGGCTTAATAACCATACAAAGGAACTGAGTAAGAAGACTCCTTTAACTGTTAACACATCTAGATTGAGCTCCACCATGATGTGGGTCACCACATTTTGCCTTAGCCGTACATGCACACTTTTAAGACTGGAATTTACAAAGAACAATGAACAGCACAAATTTTCTCCCTCACAGCTGATGGTTGAATTACACAGGATCAAGAAAGATAAAACTGGACATTGCCAAAATCATACAGGTGCCCTCTGCTACTGCTTCAGGCCACGTAAGATCTAAACTCTGTCCCCCTTGATCCTGAGATAACTGAGCAGTGGCTAATGAACATAGAAAACTATATAAATGTACATACTAGGCAGTATCACTTGAGCACTCAAACAAGTTTCTAGCCCCATTCAGCTGTAATTACCTAGTCTATTGAGGACATATCGTCCTAAAAAGCCAGTACTGCCAAATACAGTTGCAACCACTCCACTAAAAGAGGATCTTCCTCCAGGACCTGCCTTTGGCAAGTAGCTGACATTTCTCTAAGATAACATAAAAAAAACTAAATTAGTTTACATAACAGATGCAATATTTTTAGAAGGAAATCCTATTGCTCAAAACAAAATTTTAACACAATTTGTTAAACAGAATGGAGCAAGGTGGTAAAAACAAAGAAGTGGCACATAAGCCATAGGTGCGTGTGTCACTGATGTTTTTACCACATTTTGACATCATCTGTGATCTATTACTGAACAGACCCAAGGCAAAATGGAAACTTTTTGTTTTATACAATGATCAGAAAAGAATAAGAATAAGACGGATACACATACCCGCCTCGTACCGCTTGATTGTTCGAAGATTTATGCTTGTTTAGGCATTTTTTAAGTCCCACACACTACTTTTTGTCCTCGCTTCTTCTTTTTTTCCTTATCTTACTTGTAAACAGTTTCTTCAAAAGGTTTTCAACGTCTTCATTTGCTCAAAGCAGAAATGCCGAAAATATTTTGCAAAACAGCGAGACTCTCGTAGCGAATATGACACACGATGGCAACTGTTGTGAAGTTTTCTTGCACGCAGTATAGGCATTCTCAAGTTGTTAAGAACTCTTTTTGTCTCTGTTTTTCCATTTTCTTTCTTTGTAAATAGCCCCTGCTCAACTTTTTTCGAGGCTTTCACTTGCTTAATCTGAAAAAATCTCACAAATATTTTCGAAACTGCGTGCCATGTTGAACAATACAAAAAAAACAAGTTTTCCATGACCTCATCCATGTACATGTATCTGTAAGTTCTAATAGCTCATGGGTAATGACCAATCACAGCAGGCATTGATTCACATCATTGTTTAACTTTCAAAAGTCAACCTGGTTGAATATTTCTTCAGCAGAGACTTTTCTCTGGGTTCACTGGTTTTCCTCTCTCCACAAACCTAATATTTCTAAAATTTGATAATTTGATCAGACAGTTTTTTAAAACAATAATTTTATCATTCATACCATCATGAAATATGTTAAATATGACGTGTGATAAAGTTATGATAATGGTAATTAATATGATGGTATCTATTAGAGCTGTCATAGAGGGCTACAACCTGGAACACCTGTCACGGCTGAGCTCATTAGGTGTTGTACATGGTTTAAGTGGAAAACTAAAAGTGACACATTTTTATGTTTGTATGAGTGAACCTTCATTTGCTACAACTGCTTCAAAACTTATAACACCCACCTGACAAGAAATAGCTAGCCCAAAAACTGGTCTTGCTGGAGAGCCTACATCCAGAAAAGTGAAAGCAGTGATTTACATGTGCTAAACTTTTACATTGCACTTTAATATGTAGCGGAAACGGGAAAGAGAGCTGAGAAAAAGCAGCAGGTAAGATCTGCATGCTAAAAAGAAGATCAAAAGAAATGCTCATGAACCTAGATCACTAGTCTTACAACAAGTCTAAGCAAGCACTTTTAAAATAACTTTTTTTCGGACAACAACTGTAATATTATTACTAATACTAGTTATAGTTGTCACTAAATCTGCCCCCGACCTTTTAAAACCCGAATGAAGACTCCTTGTGGTTGTCCATGTATTTGCCATGAACCTTTGTGAACTGACAAATCAAGTTCTTTAATACCAAACAATTGCAGTACTGCTGAATAACTTTTTAACTCTATAGAAATATGTATCTCGCAATAACCTTCGCGAAACTCGGTTTGGTAACGGCACTCAAGTTAAGCCCTGTCGGTCGGGGTTACGAACTGGACGGGTGACCAACCGCGAATATCATGTTAAAGGTCCATATGTTGTTCTTTCTTTTCTTCTTCTTCTTTTTTGCGTATTATGTAGTGTTATTGTTAACAGTGTATTGAAAAGCACATTTAGCATTATTTCGCCGCCCGCATTTAGAAAAAGACAAAAACAAAGAACAAATATGGCCCGGTGCAGTTCACCTGAAAATTATTATTATTCGGGCCGTAATACGGAGCTGACACTTTGCAGACTTTGATCTATATATCTGCGGGGAAACCGGCAAACTAAAAAATCTGGGTTTTCAACAGTGTAAAACGATCATAATTTCTTTGATTCCAATCTCCTGTTCCTCTGTCGGCGTTGCCTTCGCCGTGCCATCAATGTTCCTTCTACTCCGTGGTTTCTTGTTGACGTCTTCTCCTTCGTTGTTCATGCTGAATTTGAAGTCGGCGTTCTCGCTCTAGAGGAGTTTCGGAGGAAAATCTTCCCGGACGAGGATTTGGAGCCACTTGTTGTGCTTGTGTGCGACACAATTCGGCGAATAACCCAGTTTGCGCAGTTGCTGAGCCAGGCGCACATGCTGAAAATTAACCGGGACCACCGTGCGCGCCTAGTTTCATCAAATCAGGAAAGCTTCGCATATACTAACAGTAATACGATACTTCTTCTTTACGCGGGGGACATTAGGGTGCCTCCTCGGGTTCCGGCCTCTGGGCCGGAACCCTGCGGGGGCAACAAGGATGCCAACCTCTGGAGATCAAAATTCTGGAGACTGTGTCTTTTGCTTTACCCCCCCCCCCCCC